CCAATGGGACCTTTCAGACTATTGGGGTTTGGAATAATGGGCCATTGGAACAATGGGCAGTCTCCCTTGTTTCAAGGAGAAAACAAGGCACACAGAGTAGCTCAGTGGGTGATGCGGACTGATTATCTCACATTAGCATGACCTACTTCACTTCAAAATCAGTATCCTACTGTTGAGTGGACATGACAGGGAGTGATGAAGAAAATTGCAACACAGACATTCTGCATTTTAATCAAATCATATTGTTTCCTTGCAGCCCGCTAGCAAGAGTTTTGTGGTCAGGTAGTGGCCCATGTCTTAGGAGTTGAGGATCAATGATCTAAACCATTGGACATACCCAAAATATAGGTAATAATCCTTTATCGCATAATAACTGTATGCACAACTGTGGCAAGTACAGTAGGTCAAAGGTGAAGCAGAAGGTTCTTCTTATTTTTAACGATGTATTTCCAGATCTCAGCAAATTTTTTCGCTGAATATTACTATCACCATTGCGAACAATGGCCAAAATTCCAAAAATAAGACCCAGGTTGTAGGAAACCGGAATTGCCCCTTCAATTTTCGATTGAAGTAGGACATGAGAGGCCAAGGTAAATGTGGAATGAAGCTTCTACTGTTGCCCCCTGTTTCCCTTTCATTATTTTCAGCCAGATAAGACCCACAGGTAACCATTTTCTGTCTCTCAAGTTTCAGAGGAGATTTAAGGCAGATGAATTTTTCACTCTTTCTTTGTTGATGACATTGTGTTTGCATATTGGGAGCATGAGGTTATATCCACGTCATTAGTCTCTCTGCTTGGATCCAGGCCTGATAACTACACCGCCATCTCAGTTATATTCACTTCGGTTCTAAAGGGTCCATAAATTGTCTCTTTCTCTTTCTCACTTACGTTCACTTGGGCTCCTACCACTGTTCCCACGAGACACGGAGCTCGGCTCATTGGCCACCACACACACGCACACAGAGGGGGGTTCTCTCTTGCCACCACCGCTGGGCTTACCCACCACACACACACAGACCCTGAATACCAATCTCTGCATGTGCCCCCCCCCATCACCACCCCCAACCGAGCACACAGGGTTAGCTGAATATTCTAGGAGCTTTCAATTTTTCAGGCAGGTCTGCGAACCCCCTCCCATCATGCGGCGCCATCACACTCAAGGGAGTTAGAATTTCAACAGTCGTTAGCAGGGTCATCTGCAGTCCCTCAGGGAGGGACTTAAAAGAAAAAGATTTGAATTGCCTTTCTCTTTTTTTATTCTCTTTGCGTCTCCCCACTTTAGTTCTCTGTATGGGTCTGTCATAATTCCACTTCCTGTCTTCAAGGCCTAGCAATACTCATCCCCCTCAATCTTGTCTCCGCCGCCAAATTCATCAATCAGAGACGAGGTCTTTCAAAGCGCTTTTTATAGCTCAGATGTCACGCTTCTTACGCCACTGTCAAAAGTGGTGACAGAGCTCCAAACCGCTGGTTATGCCACGGTAAGGCGTTTATCCACTTGTATAATGTACTGTAGTGCTCATACAGGATCAAATGCGGGATGTGAGGAAAATGGCTTCTAGCTGAAAGAGAAAGAGAAGGAGGGGGTTGTGAGGAAGACAGAGGGTGGGGGGGATGAGAAAACATTTCTTCTTCTAACTCTTTTGCACTAATATGAATTCCCAGTGAAATGTCTGGCGAAGTAGGTCAATGGGATTTAGAAAGTTTGTGCTGTTTTTTTTTTCTCCTCCCTCTCTCCTCATACTGTCTTGTCAATGGAAAATGAGCAATGCGATTAGGAGAGGGGAAGATGATGAGCTACAGAGAGTGAGTGAAAAAGAGCAAGAGAAAGAAAGAGAAAAAAAAGACAGGCTTGAGTGGTGGTTTGGGCCTCTCACAGGTCCCTTACCAGCTGACTGAGAGACCCAGACAAAGAGAGTGAGAGGAAAAGGGAAGAGAGAGATTTGTATCTGTGCTCTGGAGGAAGGGAGTGGCTGATGTCTCTTCATCTTGATATTGAAGCAACAATCTAATTATACAGTTTCTCCAGGGAATATGCATATGAGGGTAATCAGTAAATAGAAAAAGGTAATTATTTGCCACGAGTCATACCCTTTGCACCTGTAAGCACTGCACCGATACACAAGATTGTGCGTTTTCCTATAATTCACAATAAAGATAGTTTATCAGCAGCTAAATTGTTTCGTTAATTCATAATAAGTAAATGAATTTCCCAGTTATTGAATATTTCATGGTGCCTGTCAAAATATAATGAGTAAAGTTTGGTCAAATACAAATGGGCCTCTCTTGGTAATTTGCCAGAATGTTCCTCGGGGTAAATCTCTGCCAGTGAATGTGATTGAATGTTACAATTAAACGTACTAATTCATTGTCAAAAGCAACTTATCTATACACATGATATATTTGGCGCTTAATTGGAAAGCACATTTAGAAATGGTTTCTTGGGTGACTTTCTACATCACGGCCTAATCAGAATAAATTCTGCCTGCTGTAATGAATTGAAGTTGAATATTCGTAGTTGGGCTATTAAAGAGACTTGAGGAGTGAATTATTTAAATGCTAATTAATGTTTTAAGCTTTCCAACCTGCAATAGGCACATATTATTCCTCAGTTCCCCTGCAAATGGCTAATTTCAACATTCACTAAGTGGAGGGTAACTTCTTGCTCATATTTCATTCAATTCACCCATACAGCTACCTCTAGCCGATGAGGGAGGAAGATGGAATCCATCAATACTGGGAGACAGTTGGTGGAATTACTTATGAACTCTTAGCTGGGAATTCAGTTTCCCACTGGCTGCATTGATGAATCAAGGGAAACTTGCTTCAAGCCTGGTTTTGTCATGCTTTCGTCTCTGACACAGTTGTTGCTCTTCTTTTTTACCATAAAAGATTAAAGTCTTTATTAAAGTCCCACTTTTTTTCTTCTTGTTCCTACAGTTGGATGTTTGAGCTCCACTGTGCAGAATGATGTATGTGCAGAGTTTGACACTAGAAGAATGTTTTCACATTAATCTGCCGAAAGTTAAAACTGTCTCTCATCGTTGAAAATCTGATCAGACTATTTGTGTATATGTCTTGATACATGTCTGTAGGGAATCTTTAACACATTGCCTGATTTATTTGTTTCCACCAGTGTCTCCACCTGACAAGTTGCATATTACATCTGTTTAGTGCTTTGCGGTATGTCGCCATCCCTCTGCAGAGATTTAAAGATCACCAGCAGCTTCTGACAGAGCCACAGATATTAGATGAACTTCATTAGCGTTGAAATAGTGTGAGATGCGGTTCAACTTTGTGTTCAAAGCAGCCTGCAAAGAAGTTCTAATGCGAGCGGCAGTGGCATTATTCATGTTTCCACAATAGCTTGTTATTCATCATAAGACAAAGGAGAATCTCACTCGGCTTGACATAGATGGAGGAGGGCCACAAGGGTATTACTCACATCTGCTGAAAACAGTATGCACAGCCAACTGGATGTCACGATACACCATGCTTATTAATGCAAACAAAGTCTCCCAACACAGAATATAAATGACATTTTCCTTCACATCAGAGCATAAATATTAATTGTGTTAAATCTATGATGTATTGCGGTTAGGGAGTTGCTTTAGTTGTTTATTGTTAAACCAACAGGATGCATTTTATTAATCAAAGCAGCACATCATGTGACACCATATTGTAAAGTGCAGTACAGAGCACACTGAGTTATTAAATTCAAAACCATAGTTCCCTTTAATACCACAAGGTGGCACTGTAGGCTTACAAACAGCTACCATCAAACTGCACATCCTTGTCTCTGGTTCTCTGATTACTGATAAGGGCAAAGATCAAGTTGATTTAATTAGCATGTCCTTAAACTTGAACCTACAATTTCTGTTTTCCTTTGTTTACCTATACACACTAATGTCCAAGCCTAATATTCAATATGGTTCTTTCAGCCTTGTGGATCAACAATGCATTGTTCAGCACTCCATATAAATAATCCTACCTTAACCACAGTATGCACAAAGAATCAACAGAAGGCTTTTCGCCTTGTTCCCTGTTTTCTTCCTTTAAGTAGAGAGTTTGCACAGCTGTCCATGGAGCACAAATGGCATTACACTCTCTTCCCGTGGCAGGACATCTGTTGCTTTCAGCTGGCATCCCTTCTGAGTGTACTGGAGTGTGCTTTATGCAGCCTGGCGGTATTATGACTGAGTCCCCCCCCCACACACTGTTTTTTTGATGGGCTCTTCCCAATGTGATAGGTGAAGTGGTACAGGAGTTTTGTGTCAAATATAAAAAGAATAACCAAATGGACTGTATAATGTGTGAATTATTTCCCCTTTTATTTCAGGGGAACCTTCAACCTTCCAGTCAACCTGTAATGCAAGGTATTATACTTTATTTTCAAGTACATTGTGGTAGCTGCATATCAAAGACACACTCACCTGCCTCCCACAGTTAGATTTAAGGAGATGATAAGATCTTAGAGATGCGGACAGACGGCCAAACTGCGTCACTTAAAGCTTATAGATGCCTGCAGTGTACTCAAGGAAATAACAATGCTATTACTCAAGATGATACAACCATTAATATTGCTATTAATCACTGACAAATAAATTCATACACAACCTTCTGCAGCAGCTTGGTCTTACAGCTGCCTTGGCCCTCTGAGTAAGGGACTCTATCAGTAAAAACTCCTTGTATAGATTGACTGGGAACTAATACAGAATACTAATTGGCATTCCATTTAATCGACTTAAAACTCTTTGTCCATGTCCTCACGTCTCCTGCTGAAGTCACATTTTCTATAAAGTCAACCAAGTAAGCCTATTTCTTGCACTTTTCCCTGACCATTTTCTAAACTGGCAAGAAATTCAGAGACAATAGTGGTGCTCTAGATTTCGAATCTACAATCAAAGGAAGCACGTTGGTTAGTTGAACTGGACTGATTCATCTAATTTGTATGAAAGTGCGAGTCAGATGCAAAAATTTAAAAAAAAGCAAACAAAAGTGAAACATTTCCTTTTTATTTGTCCGTCTTCTCATGTGGATTGAGCACTTTTGTATTTCAAGATCATCTTTACATACTCCTGTCCAGACAGGTACATGGTTCGTCTTAGCTTTGCATCCGCAAAGTCCACATGGAACAATCCAAAACGAACGCTGAATCCATCAGCCCATTCAAAGTTGTCCAGCAGCGACCATGCAAAATATCCACGGACGTTGACCCCATCTTCTTGTATAGCTATAGATGGACACAGAGTTAAAACATAGAAGATTTCTGAAACATACCAAGAGCATGAAGTATTCCAAGTAGAAAACACAGTAGCTTAGTTTAATTCTCATCAACTGAAAGCATCCTGTAAAGCCCTGCAGACTGACCAGCACACAGAAACTATAAATCCTAGAGCTCCTGAAAAAGGTAGAGAACCTTCAATATCCCTGGCAAAAGAAAATACACAGATTGGCCAGATGGTGGTGCCAAAACAACCAACTACTTTTGGGCTATAATCCCTAAGCCTTATGGTCTAAAACAGTATTATTTGTAGCATGGTATTTTTTCTTTTTTGCATGACAGAGCCTTTATATAGGTTCATAGCGACTTGTTCTTCTATACATAAAATACAAAAACATTTTAAAACCATCATGTATACCAGTATACTGAAGGCTGGGATTACTACAGAGTTTTCATGGTCCTACAAAATGATTTACATATTTTAATAAATTATCGTGCAAACGGCAGCGTAGTGAAAACAGAACTTAAAATAAAAAAGACATGCCAGCAACTTTAACACTGCTTCCCTAAACACTATAAACTAACATTGTATTAAGATATTTCTCAAGACACAAATGCAGTTTGAGAGCAGTTGTTTCAGCTATGCAGTGATATAGGGGTATATGAACAATTCAATTTCTATATGGGACATTAAACCTGTATACATGTCAATCACCCAGCACTAGTCTGAAAATGAAATAATATTCATAAAAATTATGTTTTTCTTCCGTTTTCATGAATCAGGAAAAGTCTACTGCACATCCAGATTTTTGTTTCCATTATAATGCGTACCTATTTAGTGTTATACAAAAATATCCCTCCAAAATATCATACAAATGAACAAAACTTGAGCCAAAGATAACAAACAAATGATAATAGTGCACAGATGGTGGGGGTTGTCAGTGATTTTTTGTATGTGTGACAAATTTATACCCAATTGCAAGAGGGATGAAGGTTTAACAGACCACATTTGATCCTCTTTAGTAGTGTTAATTTTACTAGGACAATTTGCCAGGGGAGTTGTTCATTGGCAGCTGCAGGACTGTGCTGAAAATGCTGAACGCCCCATTGGCTTGCACCCTACTACTGTCTGCTAATGGCTATTTGCTTATTTCCAGTGCAGATTCACAAGCCATTACCTTTAGCCACTTCAAAGATGGTGTCCTTGTAAAACTCTGAGCGCTGGACATCCTCAGTTTGCAGCGGCCCCACCTGAGAGAAGCCATTCTCTGTAATGTAGACTGCTGGGTTGTTGAATGTGTCCTGAAAAGTCATGGGGCAAATATTATTGTCAAACAAGGCATCTCAGCTGTCAGACATTCCAGGGAGAGACAGATTGGTCTACACTGTGTCGTTTAGCTGCATTTCAACGGTGCCAAGCTCAAACTAATGGCCTGTGACTAGTCACAACAGCAGGAAATTGCAATTGCAAACACTTTGAGCGAAGTAACTGTTTCATTCAATGTGACAGCACTAATGAAGCATCAATGTGTTTCTGGAGGTGTTAAAAGGAGATTACTGCATACAAAATCAATAGCAAGGCACTAAACAAATGTCAGCGTTCTCCTCGTTTGGTTGACGGTCATTTGTCTCCTTGTTGGTCAATTCAGTTTGATGCCAAGAGGAAAAAGAAAAATGACTTCACATTTCAACTAATTGAATTCACAGTTTGGGGGAGCTTTTTGTGACGTGGAACCAGTAGCTGCAGTTTTACCTTGATGTACTTTAGAAGTTTCCTTAAGCCGTGGGGCACTACAGCAAGCCAGGACACACCACAAATAGGCCAGGACGGATCCAAAACCTCTCCTGCGTCTCGGTCGCTCTTCATACACAACGTCTCTCCGCAACCTCCTCCTGGCTCCACTTTACGAGACGTATAGTAGTTCAACGCAAAGAAGTCAGCCGTGCCCAAGATGGCAGGTTCATCCTTTGAGAAACTGGGCAGTCTTGAGCTGCCACTGTATCCAAACTTCTTACTTTGAGCGTCAATGGCAGATCTCATTATTTCTGGATAATCTCCAGTTACAAACACAGGCCAGGCAAACCACCCGAGTGTAAACGCAAGGGAGCGTTCAGTGGCAGCGATATCCTCGGCGCAACCTGCTCTCGACGGCTCAAGCCAGTCGCTGTTGATGGCCAGAGACACCGCACCCTTCTGCTCTGTCCTGTAGAAGGAGTTGTAGCTGTGCCAGGCCATGGCATGGGCACGCAGCATGTTATGGCCCACCAGGTAGGCAGCAAGCCCTGGTTCTTTTAACCCTGGGGCATGGATGCCGTCTTCATGGCCCAGTTTTGCGCACACATAAGGCTCATTGATAGTGATCCAAAGTTTGACGCGGTCACCAAATGTTTGGAAGCAAAACTTGGCATAGCTGTCAAACAGGGTCGCTATACCTGGTGATTTCCAGCCACCCTGATCTTGGAGAGCTTGAGGCAGGTCAAAGTGGTAGAGTGTGACCATAGGTGATACATTGCAGGTCAGCAAATCATCAATCACCTTGTTGTAGTATTGCAAACCTGTAGGAAAGATACAGTGTTGTTGTTAATTGGCAATAAGGTAAAACAGCCCTACAACCATCAAATGAGCTTGTTCCATTGTGTTGTTATGGATTCAGGTGTGGCATGCTTCTAACGGGGATATGGAAATACTGTACCTTTTTGATTGATATGTCGTGTGGTCCCATCGGGCAGGAGGCGGGCCCAGGAGAGAGACAGGCGATAGTGTGTCAATCCAAGCTGCTGGATACACTCCAGGTCCTTCTCCCACAGCTCGTAGCTGTTACAGGCCACATCACCATTCTGCTCCCCAAACACTCTGCCTTTCTCGTGACAAAATGTGTCCCAGATACTTGGTCCCTTGCCGTCTGCCTGCCAGCCACCTCAGTGGGCACAAATAGGTTGTTTCATTTCGTAAAAGTATAAAAGTATGTGGGATTTTGACATAAAAAAATCACAGTAATGTTTCTGCTGGGACTGTAAGTGTGTCTGTGGATTTTACTGAACTCATTGTGACTCTGTAGTAGTCTCTGGCTTATCTGTTGTCTGTGTATTGTTTTAATTTTGCTGTAATTTGTCTTCCATTATGAACACAAGTGTCTGTACATTTTAAGTCAGTGTCAGTCTATTGAGGTGACCTGTGAGTTAGAGTTCAAGTTGGTTCAGAGACTGTATACGGTCTACGGGTAAGTCAGACATTCCAGTGGTTAAAAAAAAAGTAAAGATCTGTAACTCTGGTGTGAAAAAACTGCCCTTGTGCTTTGTGTCTCGGTGTGTGCCATCCACAGAGATTGGACACAACATCATAAACACCTCCGCAGTGTAATGCAATCTAATACAAAGCTTCTGCAATAAATACAACCTTTATAAATCTTGTTCAGTTTATTATAGTTAGGCTATATAAGGCTCTTGCTGTCTACCAAATAGCATGGTGCAATAGTTACAATACAACAGATCACCACAAAGTATGGCACAGTTAGTTTATGATGACACTGAATAACATAACAGTAAGCACATTTGTGTCATTCATTGTAGAATCATTCATTCATAAAGTGTGTTCAAAAAATCATAAGGCTACGGTATAAATGAAAGCTGTATTTTAACTTAAGTCTTTGTTGTTGTAGGGCTATTTATCACATTAGACTGCAGATTCATGAGATATTGGTAATATTTCCAGTTCATAAATCTCGTGTTTACTTACCTTCTATTTGATACGCAGCAGTTCCCGCTCCCCACGCAAAGTCACATGGGAACATGTTTTTTCAGTGTTTTAATGTCTTACTGCGTTGTGTTTATCTAATGTGTATGTCTCATAGACATCTTACATTTAAACTGGTCGTGTTCGCGCACAATGTAACAACACAGCCGAAAGTAAGTATCCTACGACCTGGAACAACTCCGAGATGTGGCGTTTAGGGGTCGTAGCGGTTGTCATGTACATTGTGTTTTTCAAGCTAGGGTAAACTCAAAATATGCTTTCTCTTTGCTTTATTCTAGCCCGGCAGCACTGTCTGTATGCTATGGCTAAACAATAAGCAGCCAAAAACTACTTTTAGTCTCATTTTAGTTTTAGTCTTTCGATTTTCCGCTCACGGTCCGAGAGGTCTAAGAAATGTACAGTGGAGCACTTGAAAGCAGCACACGAGCCTACAGGCCTGCGTGATGACGTCTCGACTAGCTTGTGGACGTCATGTTTGGACTGTGCCCGGACAACTTTTAGTTTGTGCCTTTGGGGTGTAATGTTACTAGTAACATGTTAATATGATAAATAAACAATTGGAAGGGGTTATGATAAAAAAAAAAAAAAAATTAAAGTAAATTATCTTTGTCGTGATGAGCAAAACAGCCTTAAGATTTAGTTTTGCTAGTATAACAAACTATATTAAATTAGTAGTTTTGTCATATACGTTAGCCAGCAAAAAGTAAAACAAATGTATAAGAAAAGATTTTATAAAACCATATTCTATTAAATTCATTCAAGTTCAGTGAAAATACTTTTCCTGCTGCATTACAAATGGGACGTCCTGTATACAGACACAAAAGGTGAAAAGTTCCTTGTCAGTGTACATCAAGCCTCACAAGTCCTGAAAACAAATAATAGAGGTGAAAGCAGTATAGCCTGAGGGCTTATGTTTCCTGACCTGATCACTTCAATGCTATCCTCTGCCTCCGTTTTCTATGGAATGAAGTGACTCACTCGACCTAATCACAACAAAGAAAATAGATTGTTTGCCACAGGGCAAACCTAATCATTATCAGCTAAACGTCCTCCTCATATGGCTACAAGATACAATTGGATTTTTGCTCCCCTTGTGACTCAATCTTTCATGGCTATTATGGGTACAGCAAACTGGGCTGGACTCATTTAGAGGCATCCAGGGGTGGAAGAAGTAGCAGATTCACTACTTTTACTCAAGTGAAAGTAGCAATACAAAAATGGAAAAATACTCAGTTTCATTAAGTTAATGTCCTGTATTTCAAATGGCTGAATATTGAATATACAGAGGTACTGAAAGTATCACAAGAAAAAGCAGGCTAGTAGGCCTACATGTACACAAATCTAAAACTCCTTTAAGTATATTATAAGTGTGATAATTATTATCTTTTACTTAAGGATTTATGCATACACAGTATTTTACTGCAGCAGCTGGTCAATGAGGAGCTATAATTTAACTACTTTATATATTATTTGGTAGTGTTTTTTAGTTCTATGCAAAGTTAATATTAACAAGGCTGGTTTGTAAATGAACTGTGTTAGAGTAAAATGTGGGATATTTGCTTCTCAAAGGGAAGTAGCGTAAATTCAAATACTAAAGTAAAGTACAAGTACCTTTAAAAATGTATTTGTATAGTGCTTGGTAGCCAACAGTTACTCCCATCCCTGAAGCCTAAATAAAGTTAAGGTCATTGCAACCCTGCCCTACAAACTCCAAACAACTCAAGGGACGACAAAAATGCAAAGGATTTTATTCTGAAATGCGGACCGGATATGGTTTGAATTCCATCGGACTTGACGATAGTGGATCCCGGGGCAGGACCATGGGAAGAGGAGTTCTCAATGGACAGAGAAGTGGCTTTGAATACTTTCCAAAGACGCAGGGGAGCTAAAAGATACACAACAACCACTTTGGATACTCTTCTTTCAGCGATGTGAAGCTTTTAACTTTGTTTTTCGAGACTTCGCTGCCACAGTTTGAGCTGGAAAGGGGCCGTTGTAGCGCTTTTGTGTGTTTTTTTTTTTCTGAGCAATTTCCTGTTGGAGCTTGGAAAAGAAGAGACGGGGAAAGTGTACTCGCTCTTGTTTGGGTCAGCATATAGTCCAAAGTACCGGGAAATTATAGTTTTAACACGCCTTGGCCGCGTTTCCTAAAGTTAGTGCGGATAACCTGGGAATCAGTGCAGCCGCCTCCCGTGGAAAAGACAACAGTCTGGATTGGACCCCACGCTATGGGCAACAAAGAAAACCTCTCAACAACTGGACAAGTTATTTAGTTACCAGCGAGCATACTGGGCATGTAAAAAAAAAAAAAATTGCGGTTTCGTTGCGAGTTGGAGGAAAATGAACACCACTCCGGGATGGAAAGGGAATTATAAATGAGTCGTCTGGCAAACAAAGAAGAAGGACACCTCTGTCGGACTGAATACCGCCGAGCGAAGGGAAAGCCCTGCGAGAAATGGAGGAGGAAGGCTCACTTGAGCCATACAAGAAATTGGCAAAGGTCTCTTTTTTGTCTTTAACTGGGTCTGCTTTTCAGGTCACCTTTTCATAACGAAGCTACCCGGTATCAAACTACCAGTCTGCCCCCCCTGTTTACCAACCAAAACACTTTTCTTTTCGCCAAATGCTGCGGCGGTTTTCCAGTCGCGTGTGAATATGAGGGTGTATCTGGTGCAGTTGTTTGTGATTTCGCTGCTCGGTGGCGGCGGCGGCTCGGTGGGATCATCTGATTGCAAATTCTATGATGAAAAGCCGAAAAGCGGAGGGAGAAGCTTGTCGTCCGACAGGAAAGTGGTGTGCAGCAACATGGAGCTCCATCAGGTGTTACCCCCGGACTCCTTCCCCAACAGGACGGCCACACTGTGAGTATGCAGGACATGCCTTTTTTTTGTCTTTTTCAACCTCCATTTAAAACACATGACTCATCTCCTAAACTTGTTTTCCACTAAATCTTTAAAAGGTTCATGACCAGGTTTGAACAGCAATTATCCAACGCTTAAGGCTGTTTGTGAGCTACATTACGTACATACCCTGTAGTACTTCTAAATAGTATGTTTAGTGTCACTACAGGGACTTAAACATGTTTTTGTGATCCTTAATACTGCAGCTCTGTTTCCAAAAGGGAATGGGAGGGCTTATCATCCGTTTAAGTTTGTGGTTAACTTCCATACAGTTTAAACATAAGGGAAACAAGTGTACTTGTGTCCATCCCATGTCAGCCATACATCACTCTTTCACAGCTGCATACTGTAATGTAAATGTAAACCTTATGTAACAGTAACTGCCTGCCTTCCTGTAGTGCAGTGATTCACACACACAGGGAGATATTTTGGCTACTAAATCAGTGCTCGCAGGAGACACTTATCTTGCCACATCTCCAAGGCATTTTAATAGATGTCAGAGCTCATTGGCTGCTGTGTTAATCCAAGTGGTGTTTTTTTTTTTTTTTTTTACACTTGGCTGAAATATACACTCTCTGATGAGGTCACATCTAGTTTGTGAAGTGCTTTCTTTATTGACAACACACCTCAGTGAGCCAGATGTTCGACACAGTTTTTGTTAAGAATTGCACTCGTACATACAGTGGTTATATGGAATTTTAGGTTGGTTTTCTTGATTGGAAATTATCCACCAATGTTCAAGCAAAAAATCCATTTCGAGGCAACAGTTGTGATCGTATGTTCTTCGTCTTTGTGTGGCCCCATCACACACACACACACACACACACATGCATTCAACTGGCTGAGCACAAGTGGATTTCTCTTTCAGACCAGTTCATGATGTCATGGACTGAGGTCATAAAATGTTTCTGCAGATTTTTGAGGCCTTTACTGTGTGTAGTAGATTTTTGAGTCATACCAGATTTGTTTCCAAAAAAGTTTAGATTTTTATTAGATATATATTAGAGAGTGCTTGACACGAATGTATATCACTCCAGAAAAACTTAACAGATATAACAGTGCTATACCTGATGTTTGTATTAAATGTGAGAAGGAAAAAGGCACATTTTTCCATTATATTTGGCAATGTACAGAAATACAAAAATTCTGGCAAGAAATAAAACTATGTATTCAAAATATTTTACAGATTCAAATACCCTTAGCCCCACAGTTGTTTATATTGGGTCTATATCCAGATAATTTGAAGATTAAGCAATGTCAACGAATGTTTGTAGACTTAAGTGTGTTAATGGCAAAGAGAGTAGTAGCCCTCTCATGGAAAAACACCAGAAGTCCAAGTGTAAGCAGGTGGTTGTCTGAGCTATCTACAACTCTCCCCTTGGAGAAAATTACATATGCAATAAAACATCAACAACATAATATTCACCAGATCCGGGACCCCTTCATCCGCTGTGTATTGAGAACAGATTTGTCACATGTGATGGAAGAGCCTGGGGACATGTAAACAGTGGCACTTGGCAGTACCCAAGATTGCAGAAATATGTTTGTTTGTTTTATTTTATTTTTTTCTATATAATGAACCAGAATGGACTAATGGTGCTATCCATTTGTCTCGTAAATCCCCCGCCTGAGTTGCTCTGTCGCAAGAACGTGACGTAATTGCCTGGCTTGTACCACTTATAGCGTTCCATTTGTCTTTGGGCATTACGAGTCGGAAAGAAGTGCAGCAGCTGTTTTGTTATTGCTTCTGGCTCATCTAACCAAGCTCAATGTGAAATGATAATATGTTTTTCTACAGAAACACTAACATTTCAAGTGATTCCGTTATTGCAAGTCTTACATTTCAATAATATTTTGCCATTTTCGCCTATTTCAATTTCAACAAGTGCTGTGGCGTGTGTCTCGAGCCACCAGGGGCAGTGGCGGGCTACTGTTATTGTTAGCTACATTAACCTATTCAGCAAACCAGCTTGAAAACAAAACTCTACATTGTATTGCACGCACAACAACACCGTGCAATGCTTAAATTGGTGACCGGACTAAAGCAGCAATGTAAACAAGTGTGGAGGAGCATTTGAAATCGTCATTAAAAAGACCAACGTAGTACAAATACAAAGAAAATACATCTCAATATGGGCGCTGCCATCTTTGTTTTGCGGGTCGTACGTTCGTCCTCGTTTAGCTCGGTGTACTGTGAGGTACCCCGAGTGGGACGGCTGAAATTACGACCAAAAGGGGGTGTGTCTCGGTGAAATGTCACGAGATAGCTGCGAAATTTACACTTTCCAACTCGGGCTGGGGGTTTATGAGACAAATTGATAGCACCATAGCTCATTGACCTGATTCCCAACCAAGATTTGGAATCACTTGAGAGGGTGGGGTTGGGGGGGGAGTAGACATGTTTGTTCAAGACATGTACCTCTATTATATTTAAAAAGAATGTTGGTAAAAAAAAGAGAGTGCTTGACACAA